GGGGGGGGTGAGGGTGGCGGCAGGGGCCAGTGCCCGCTCCAGGCGAAAAAACCAGCTCCAGATATTGGTGGCACACAGCCCCCAGCCCTGAAGAGTCCTGGTGCTCGGGCACCACCAGCCCATATAACCTGCCGCCTATAGAGCTTGGCACAGACTGAGGGTCCCAGCTGGGCGTCTTGGGACAGTAACTTGAGCGCATTAGGACCTGGAGGGAGCGGGGCGCTCACTACTCTGTGAGCTGCTGCGAGCGAAGAGTCAAGGGCAAAGAAACGTGGCTGTCGAAGCGGTGGGTGGGGAAGTGTCCCGCAGCCAGAGTTGGATCTAGGAGGGAGGGGAGCCCCGGGACTGCTGCCAGGGCTCGCTACGGAGCCGGGCTGCGCTGGGTGGCAGCGCCTCTGTCAATCAGCCTGACTCCACTCCCGCACGCCTGTGTGCTCCAGCTGCCTCCTTGTGTCTCTGCTTCGCTGCGCTCACAGAGCGGCCGCCGCTGCTGCTGGGTGCATGCACCAGGGGACCGGAGCGGGGCTGACGCGTCCCCGCCGCGTTCCCGGCGGCACCGGGCTGCCCTCAGTTGGCGCTGGGTAGCGGCGGGGAACTTTAACGCTGGCTCCAAGTGTTGGGCTCGGTCTGCGGTTCAGCTGCAATGGATCCTCCAGCGGGGATCGCCTGTCTGCTGCTCTGCTGTGCGCTCTTCCTGCCCGGGAGCGCCCTGCAGAGCTCCAGGGAGAGAGGTAGGTCCTGGGGGGGGAGATGGCTCCATCCCTCAGCCCCCACCCCCAGGGCCGTCCCTAGCTATTTGGTGCCCTACGCAGCCCCCCCCCGGCGTCCCCCCTGCCCCAGACTCTGGGAGGCAGGAGCTGTGGTTCGCACTTTTGGGGCTCCACAGTGGCCCCGGGGGGGGGGGGCGGGAGCAGCCCTTGCCCCGGCCCCAGCCATGTCGCTCGGGGGAGGGGGAACCTTTCCTTAACTCCTCCCCCCCCAGCGACTGGCGGGGGCCGGGGCAAGGGAAGCGGAGCAGGCTGGGGCTGCCTTGCTCTGCCGCCGGTGAGTGCGGGGGGCGATTCTTTCCCCAACCTCCCCGCACTCACCGGCGGCGGGAAGCGGAGCGCCGCGGCTGGGACCTGGCGGAGTGGAGCGGGCTGGGGCCGGGTTGCTCCGCTTTCCGCCGCTGCCGGTGGGTGCGGGGTCGCTGGGGGAAGAGGTGGAATGGGGGTGGGTCGAGGGACGGGTCAGAGATGAGGTGGAGGGAGTTGTCTGCCCCCCGCCAAGGACGGCCCTGCCCACCCCCTGCTGCCATTCACTTGGCCTAGCCCCGCTCCCCTGCAGCCTCCCCCAGCTAGCTCGCCCTGGGGCTTTCAACTTCAACTTCTTCTGCTAACACTTTTTGCGAGACTTGCAGTTGCTAACCTCTTCTGGCAGCAGCAGAAAAGGGGCAGATGGGTCTGCCCCCTTTGGGGAAGGGACTTCTGGCATCTCGAGGAATGACACTTCTGTGCCAGTGTCTCTGCAGTCCCATAGCCACCCTCTGGCAGCCCCAGTGGGAAGATAAGCCTCTGGAAAGAAAGGAGGATGCGGGAGATTGGTTTAAATCCCAGATCCCATGAGAGAGAGAGTTAGAGACAGGGTGGGAAGTGGGAACCTCGAATGAGCTCTGGTTTCAATGTAACACATCTGACAGATCAGAGGTTAGTGTGTCAGATCCTGGAATTCCATGTGTAGAATAAAACACACGGTAGCAGCTTTTTTTCTTCAAACAATATGAATTTAAAAGCTCTGAAAGTCACTGAGACATTCCTGCTGGTTCCAGCCCAAGTTACCAGCTGTATATTGTGTCTGCTAATCACATGCTTTCAACTTGTTTAGGATTTGATCAACTTCTTCCACAGTTGTTTTTTTGGGGAAACTTATTTTTATTTTAAATATATGACCTGCAAATGCTGATATTATAAACATTTCCTTCCCCTAACCTCTGAGTGTAGGCCTGGTCAGAGGTCAGTTTAATAGACACTGAAGCATTCTCAAGGATTGTGCCAGCAGTCCCCAGAAATTCAACATCTTAGGTGATTAATGACAACAGTCTGAATAGCTCAGCTGTCTCAACTGACTTCACTTCATAAAACATCTGGAAAGGGGATGCAGGGTGCTTATTTTGTAGGAGGACTTTGCTGTCTTACATTCTCTTATAATTGCACTTTGCTCTATGTTAGGAACTAAACAGTTTGAATGACCTCTACACAGTATGTTTAGTTTCAGAGTAGCAGCTGTGTTAGTCTGTATCCGCAAAAAGAACAGGAGTACTTGTGGCACCTTAGAGACTAACAAATTTATTTGAGCATAAGCTTTCGTGGGCTACAGCCCACTTCATCAGACATCCAATGAAGTGGGCTGTAGCCCACGAAAG